CTGGGCTCCTGGGCCGGAAGTGGGGTCAGAGATGAGAGAGGCCGATTGGGGATGAAATTGTGACCTCAGGTGAGACAAAATACTAACAAGCAGACAAACAGAAAGCAAAACAAAATGCTGAGATGCCCGTGGAGGCCAGTTCCAGAAGGAAGCAGCAGCGGAGCCTGCTTCTAGACGGAGCAAGGGGACACTGAGATTCCTTACAAGGCTTGCGTGCCGGTGGGTGCTGCTAGAAGAAAGGTGAGCCCCACGCATGAGCACCTCTCAAATCCAGCCGGTGTCTTTCTTGAAAATAAACTATTCCAGGGAGTGGGGATAGGGCCACTCGAAGCATCTTAGTCCGTGTTCAACAGGACGGTGGCGAGGGGCGTGACACCGCCAGCATCAGCCTCCTCTGAGCCCAGGGTCCACACACAAACGTTCTACCTTTTATTCCCCACACTTCCATTTCCTGAGCACTGTGTGCTCACATTCCCCGTGCAAAGCGCTTTCCGCAGCTCGTCTAATCCTCGCGGCAACTGCACGAGGGAGGAACTATCACCTTCGGCCTGCAGATGAGTAGCACCGGTCCTGTCACCCTCTGTCCCCTAGACCCTCCACAGCTTCACTTCTTGCTGAGCCCAGAACTGCACAGGCTCAGCAGGGTTCAGAGCCAGGTGGATTGGCTGCAAATCCCTGCTTCTCCCTTAATTGCTTTGTGGCCCTGGGCACATTCCTTGGCCCTTCTGAGACCCAGTATCCTCATCTAAAAACAAAATGGGGAACATATTACAGTGATATCCACCTCCTGGGCATTTGTGAGTCTTCTGGGAGAAGGCAGTGGTTCTCAGTGCTGACACGGTGGCAAACGGCATTTCTCAGAGTTGTGAGGCGTGTGGCCAAAAATTTATAGCTATAAATAGTTAAACCAGGGAAGGTGATGGTTGGTTGTTCTAGTATAAATAGCGAATTCAATGTTTTCTCTGCGATGACATCACTAGCATTCCACAAAGCCTTCCTGAATGGGAGATAAAGGATCTAATCCCCTGGGAATTTGCCCAAAGGCTGCAGCCTATCTTATCTGTGCCAGTCTGTGAGCCAGCAAGCAAATGCAGCCTCTCCCAAGGTGTGGTGTGGCCGGCGCGGCATGGTGTGGAGCCAAGGCTGACAGCAATGGCTATGGAGCACTGGCAGGGGGCCTGGCCCCTAGTGGGTGCTTCTTGGAAGAGGGAGCCTCCGAGAAACAGGGGAACAAAAGGGGAGAAAATAAAAGCTCTGGTTATAAACCTGTTTCCCTCAGGCACAGGGTCCTAACTTTCTCCTCCTAGGGAGACAGATAACCCTAGGGTAGAAATGGGGAGAGGGGCAAGGAAGGCTGATGGGGCTGGAACCTAATGTCAGCCTGGCCCAGGGCGTCTCGAATTCCCCCTGGGGAGACACAGGATCTGATTGGGAAGCCTTGGGGTGAGGGTAACACCTAGAGGTTAAAACTGTGGTTGGGGCTAAGCATGGCGGTTCACAAGCCTGTAATCCCAGCACTTCCAGGAGGCCGAGGCTGGGCTGTTGGGAGATGGCAAGAAAAGGTGGAACCATGAGGTCAGGTGAATCACTTGAGGTCAGGAGTTCGAGACCAGCCTGGTCAATGTGGTGAAACCCCATCTCTACTAAAAATATAAAAATTGGCTGGGCGTAGTGGTGGTCCCAGCTACTCGGGAGGCTGAGGCAGAACTGCTTGAACCGGAAGGCAGCAGTTGCTGTGAAGTAAGTGGCACCACTGCCCTCCATCCAGCCTGGGTGTCAGAGCCAGACTCTGTCTTGAAAAGAAAACTATGGGTAGGTAGTACACTCATGTTTGTATCAAGGATAGGCGCTGGAGACAACTTGACCCAAAATTGACGATCTTGGCCCAAGGCTACCCACCTAGAAAGGAGGCTCTGCCACTAGTCCTTCCCAGACACGTAGTTCGCAGGTGCTTAGGATCAGTCAACAAGGCTCCTTCCCTCCCGCCGCCACCACCAACTCATTCCCCAGCTTTCCACTTTCCTCACCACTGCAGCCCCCACCCTCCACCCCTACACAGGTCTGGCCAACTCCAGCACAGACCACCTGATCCCAAGCCTGCCTGAGGGCCTCTCACCTGGAGAGAGCTGCCCTTGCCAGGATTCATGGCGGTGCCAGCAGCCAGCCCCACCCTCCTAGTGACTGAGAAGCTGTTCTGGCTGTAGAGGCAGACCCAGCCAGAGGCAGCAGGCAGGATTACCCACTTCCATTGACTAGAAAGGGCCTCACCTCCCAGTGGACACTGTCTACACAGTCTTCATTCAGCTGTGAGATCCTATCCCCACCTCAACTCCAACCCATCCTCCCCTAAAACAAGTGAGAATGGGGATGGGGAGGAAGCTGAAGACAGGGGTTAGCCCTGCAAACTCTCATCTCTGCCCTCCTTCCTGCTTCACTAACTGCACTTTGCCCAGTATTCCTCCCTTCCCCACAGTGGCACAGTGGTCCCAGACACAGCCAGAGTCCATTCAAAAAAGACAAATTCTTTATTTAAATCAACAAACTCATCTTCCTCAAGCCCCAGACCATAGTGGACAGCCCTCCCTCTCCATCCCCTCACCCCACCCCTTAGCCACAGTGAGGGGAATGGAAAATGAGAAGCCGTGAGGGCCTCTGCCAGGGAAGGCTGCCACAGATGTGTGGTGAGCACAGTGAGTGCAGCTGTGGCTGGGGCAGCAGCTGCCACAGGCTCCTCCCTATAAATTAAGTTTCTGCAGCCAGCCACAGCTGCGGGAGAAGCATGCTCGTAGAAGCAAGGCGAGTCCAGCATCAAAAAGCAAAGGCAGCATCACTGACGCCCAGCTATGGATGGATGGAAGGCACAGAGCTCAGGGACAGAGCAGGCCAGGAGAGAGGAGAGGCATGGTGGTGGGGTGCTGAGGCCCCTACATTTTGGTCCCAGGGGAAAAGAAGAGCCCAGTTGGTCCAGTTTTGATGGGTATGGGGTAGGGAATGTATTAGTAAGCTGGGGGGAAGGGCTGCCAACAGGCACCCCAGAGGTGACAGGACAGGCTGAACCCCCACCCTAACAGAAGGGAGCTTGAGAGCTCTGGGGCTCTCTGGGAATGTCACTGCTAAAATATATATCTACATATATATTAACCATTCGTGGGAGGGCAGGGGCAAGGCCTGGGGCGGGATCAGAGGATCTGGCGTGGCATCCCGTAGCCGGTCATGCCTGCCTGAGACGCCCCGCGGTTGGTGCCCATCTGTAACCCGATCACGTTCCTGCCCTCTTGCAGCTGGTTGTCCGAGAAGTTCCGAGGATTCTCCTTGGATTTCCTGCATGGCAAGGGAGAGCTGGTTAAGAGGAGGTCACAGTCTGCCCTAGTAAATCCCTTCCCTGGACAGAGCACAGGCTTTGCTGTTGACTCAAGGACTGGTGCCAGCTGTGCCCTCAAGAGCCGTAAGCTCTCCGAAGCCACCTCCTCATCTGTCCAAAGAGACAACCACTTGCCATGCCAGAGGGTATTGTGAGGACTAAGTGAAATGAGGAATGTTCTGAAAGTGCTTTGTAAAGGGCCAGCTGCTACCAAGATTACTTATTTCCCAGGGACAGGGCTGTGCACCTGCCGGACCCTGAGGCTGCCCCAGCAATACTTACTTAGGGAACCAATTGGGATCCCCAGAGAAGAGCCCATCATCCCGGGCTACTGCCAGCCCACCCAGATTCATCAGCGTCCGCTGCACACAGGCCATGTTCTTTCCTGGGAAGGAGAATGGGAATGTGTCAGCCTCCACAGGGTCCTAGATGCCAGGATTCCACCTCTATCACTAAGTCAGCAGGCCTAGCTTCCTAATTATTTTTACAATTCATTTCCATACCCTTCTCCATATTCCAGCCCGCAATATGACCAAGTTCTCCATGAAACACAAACACACCCCTCTTTCTCCTCAGGGAGCCAGAAAACAGTCCCTTCTTCCTGGTCAAGAGGGCCCAGCCCAATCTCTGGTCTCCTGGATGACAGGCCCCAGACCCTGGCCCTGTCCCACCTTCCCAGAGGTCCACGGTTTGGAAGATGTCAGTGGTGTTAATGCCATAGCGCTCAGCTGCCTGCAGGAACTGAGAGATCTGCTCCATCTGCTTGAAGGCCATGGCGGAGGCCTGGATCTTCTTTACAGGGGCCTGCCCCTCGGGGTACAGTGCATTAATGAGCTCACATAGCACCTGGATGAGGACAGCAAAGGGGAGAGCATGCCTACTTACCACAGCTCAGCATGCACCACCCTCAGAACCAGAGACAAGGAACCAGAGAGGCTCCTGTCCTGCCTGAAGACAGCTTGGACCCTTTCACTAGGGTAAGTCTCAGGGTCCTTCTTGCCAGGTTCCTGCCTCCAAGCCCAGAGTGAAAAGCCGGTTTTTAGTCTTTCCTTGCTAATACACTCTCCCACAGTTCTTTCCTTAGAACATTCACCCTTACCCTCCACTCCATGGGAAGGGAAGAAAGCATGGGCCCCTTCACATCCTCAATAAAGACCTTCAGGCTGAGGAAGAGGCTGGGACTTGTGTGCTCTCAGCCTTCCCCTCTGCAGGTTTAACAATCCCCAGTCTGCTGGACCTAGGCTTGCTCTGCCCGCACTTCTAAGCCAGTGGGGCCCAGCTCTCACCGTGCCATCCTTGAGCCAGTTCTGGAAGTTCTCCCGCCCAGGCTGGGGCCGGCCCACATCCTTTCGGCACTGGGTGGTGATCCACTGGATCAGGATCTGCTCCAGGTCTGCGTCATATTGCTTTTCAATCTTCTGCTGCACCTCCCGGCTCAGGCCATATGCAGGTCCCCTGTTGGCCATTCCAATGGGTGGTGGTGGCTGTGGGGAGCTAGGGAGAGGACACACGCGGGCCTTCGGTCAACACCTTGCAGTCTGGGGAGTTGGGAATTCAGGAATTCTGCCTGCCATATCCCCCAGGGTGAGCCCCAAGGGTGAGGACCAGAACTGCTGCCAAAAGCAACCCTGCTCTTTTTTTTTTTTTTTGAGACAGAGTTTCGCTCTTGTTACCCAGGCTGGAGTGAAATGGCGCAATCTCGGCTCACCACAACCTCCGCCTCCTGGGTTCAGGCAATTCTCCTGCCTCAGCCTCTAAGTAGCTGGGGTTACAGGTACGCGACACCATGCCCAGCTAATTGTTTTGTATTTTTAGTAGAGATGGGGTTTCACCATGTTGACCAGGATGGTCTCGATCTCTTGACCTCGTGATCCACCTGCCTCGGCCTCCCAAAGTGCTGGGATTACAGGCGTGAGCCACCGCGCCCGGCCTCTTTGCTTCTGTTTTTAACCGTCTAGGTTGGTGCAAACCACTGGATTTTAATTGAGCACCTTCTATTTGTGCCAGGGATTGTTAAAGAGAAAGAAGTAGCTGGTCCTCAAGTACCCACAGTGCCATCAGGGAGACACAGTGAGTACCTATGAACAGGTAAGGGCTGCACACAAAGAATACTGAAGTGTACAGTGCAGATCACATGTTGTAGGAATTAAAAGAAGCAGATGGGCAGAAGCAGCCTGGGAAAGCTTTCTGGAAGAGGTAGGCCTCAACAGGTCCTTGAGGGATTTCAGCAAGCAAAAGAAATTGCCTACGAGAAACTAGGCAATAAAAACAAATTCTAGGGCAGGGCCCGGTGGCTCACTCCAGTAATCACAACACTTTGGGAGACCAAGGCAGGCGGATGATCACAAGGTTGGGAGATCAAGACCATCCTGGCTAACACAGTGAAACCCCGTCTCTACTAAAAATACAAAAAATTAGCCAGGCATGGTGGCTCATGCCTATAGTCCCAGCTACTTGGGAAGATGAGGCAGGAGAATTGCTTGAACCGGAGAGGTGGAGGTTGCAGTGAGCCAAGATCACTCCACTGCACTCCAGCCTCAGCAACAAGAGCAAAACTCTGTCTCAAAAAAAAAGAAAAAAGAAAAAAAAAATTCTACTTTCCCTTCTAGGAGCTATGATAGGCAGAATCATGGCCCCTTAAAAGGTGTCCATGTCCTAATTCCCAGAACCTGTGGATATGTTACCTTACATGACAAAAAGGGACTTCATAGATGTGATTAAGATCTTGAGATGGGGAGAGTATTCTGGATCATCCAGAGGAGCCAGGGTCCTTACTAACTGAAAGTGGGAGACAGGTGAGTCAGAGTGGGAGAAGTGACAATGAAAGCAGAAGTTGGAGTCACACAGGGTCAAGAACCAAGCGATGCAGGTGGCCTCCAAAAGCCAGAAAAGGCAAGGAAATGGATTCGCCTGAAACCCCCCAGCAGTAACGCAGCCCTGCCAACACCCGCATTTTAGCCAGTGAGACTCCTGTTGATGTCTGTAGAACTGTAAGATACTGTATTTGCGTTGCTTTAAATCACTAAGCTTGTAGCAATTTGTTTCAGCAGAAATAGGGAATTAATACAGGAGTCCTGGGTGATATTTTTGGGGAAACCTGGGGAGAGAGGGCAGGATGGGGAAATACACAGGAGGGTTTCTTTAACTTACTTGGAGGACCTTGATTAGCAAGAACTGGGTGGTTTTCCAACCACCAATGGCCTGAGTCGGTCGGCCTCACTGTGGCATGTGTTCCCATCCAATACCTTACCACCTGGGTCTGACACTCAGAGGCTGAGCAAGACCCAGGCATGCTACAGATGCCAAGGGGAGCCAAGAACCAAGAAGGGGCACAGTCCCCATTTTCCATCCCATCCCCACCTTGGTTTGGCCTTTCTTCTCTAAAACAGAGCTAGCTGTCAGGCTGCTCATGAAAGCGGACCCCCCCGCCCCCAGGACAGGCATCTTTGTTCAAGGGAGGAAAGAGAGCCAACCCTTCTTTATTTTTGAGACAGAGTCTTGCTCTGTCGCCATGCTGGAGTGCAGTGGCGCAATCTCGGCTCACTGCAAGCTCCGTCTCCCAGGTTCAGGCGATTCTTCAGCCTCAGCTGGGACTACAGGCATGTGATCCTACGCCCAGCCAATTTTTACATTTTTAGTAGAGATGAGGTTTCACCATGTTGGCCAGGATGGTCTCAATCTCTTGACCTCATGATCTGCCTGCCTCAATCTCCTAAAGTGCTGGGATTACAGGTATGAGCCACCTCGCCCAGCCAAGTGCCACTCCTTCTAACCATATCTGGCTCCAGTCCAGGTCAGCCTTCAGGGATGAAGTCACTCTGGCTCCCCGTCTCCCACACACTCAAGGTTAAACAGTCCCACCACTCCCTCAGTAGGCCTTGGAGCTCTGCAAAATACAAGGGGACCAGCTCTCAGTCACAGAAGCTGTGTCTCGGGCCAGTCCCTCTCATCCTGACTCCAACATGGCTGCTCCTTTCCACCCCAGCTTATCAAAACTGCACATTTCCGGCATATCCTCCCCGAAATCAGTTATTTTTAAACCTCATTAAGAGCAACTCACCCCCTCACTTCCCCCAGCCCGAAAGCTGGGCCAGATAAGTGTCAGTCTGGATCTTGACCCACAGTGCCAGGCACCCACACCATCAACTGGGGGAAGGCAGGCGGGGTGGGGTGGCTGAGGTCTGAAGAGAAAGCAAGACAAGCAGCTGCGCCCTCCCCTAAGGGTGGCCATAGAAACCTCTAACCTCTGATGCACGGGGAATGGCTGGAAGACAGGTAGGAGGAGGAAGGGGCTAAGGGCTACTGCCACCAGTAAGCCCCCTTTCTGCAGCCCAGTTCCACACCTCTCTTCTGGGAGTGGCTGTGCTCTAGTCACCTGGGTCTCTCAGGACTGTGTTTCCAGAGACCAAGTGGCCTGAGGCTCAGGGATTACCATGGCACAGGTAAAGAAAGGACAGGACAACGATTAACCTGGATGCTGGGGATAAGAGCAGAGAAGAGACTGAGGCCAGACCCTTCCAGGGCCCCCCAACCCCCAAGGCAGGACAAACTTGGCCTCCTAGACCCACCACTGGGTGGAAAGTGGAGGCTAAGGGCCCCCCACCCCCACTCCGGGGCCTGGACACAGCTGGCAGGGTCACGGCCTCCAGCTGTAGTGCATCTGCTCCACTGTGGGGCCATTGCCCTCCAGCTCTGAGGTGCCAGAGCCACAGGGCGGAGTCCTGAGAAGGGGCAGTTCCAGCCAGGCCAGCAGCTGTTTCTCCTCCCCACCCCCACGGGCAGGCAGGAGCTGATGGGCTGCGGCTGCTGGAGCTGGGAAGGTCCAGCCCAGGGACCCCCAGGGGACCTGCCCCTGCCCTCCCTAAATCATAAAGAAAACAGCAAGCAAGTTGCCTACCAGGGTGGGGAGAAGAGATATGCCCAGCTGCAAGATAGGTGTGGGGGACCCCCAGAGCTGGGGAACCCAAGGGAAGGCGGCAGCTGAAAAAGCTGGGGGATGGGCTGGCAGCGAGCAATCTAAACCCTAGTGCTACAGCAGCCGGGAGGACAACCCTCACCCTCACCCTGGAGTTACAATAGGCGGGAAATGGGGAGGGGCCACGCCAGGCACTCGGCCCCACCCAGACCCTGGGCTGGAAGCTTACCTCACCAACGCCAAAGCCAAAGAAAAGGCGGACACGAGTGGGGGAGGGGAGACTTCAGGGTTCTTGGCTAGGGTGTTTCATTGGGAAGACAAAGGGACTCCCATCCTCCGTGCAGATGGGACACGAGGGAACTTCCCAACTCAGATTTGGGGCAGAGACTGTTCCTAAGGAGCACAGTGAGGGCACCAGCCCACTAAGCGAGGTGCCACAGGCAGCCGCAAGGATGGGGGCGGCCCACTGTTAAGGGAATCACCTTAGGGCAGCCCCTCACCACCAACACTCAGGAGCAGAAGAGAAAGCTGAGGCTACACAAACAGGAAGCTCCAAGGCTTGCGTGGGAGGAGGGATGAGGTGGGGGCCGTTACCATGGCTGCTGTATACCAAACACAGTGTTGGAGGCTGGGTGGGGGCCCCGGGCAGAAACACCCGCTGCACACAGACATTGTGGTGAGCAGGCTGTGAGCACTGGGGCAGAAGTGGGATCGTCCCAGCAGATCCCCGGTGTAACCAGGTGCAAGGGATTCCTCCAGGAGGCAGCTACAGTGGGAACGGACAGCATGTGGGGGAGATAGGAAATGACCCGCCTTGGGGAAGAAGCAGGCGCAGGAAGCAGCAGTTCAGGAGAAGAAATGCCCTGGGAAGGGAAAGCGTGTTCTGAGCTAGAGAACCCACAGCTGAGAACTCTGGAGGGAGAAGGGATGGAATGAGACAGGATTGGGGGGAGTTTGGCGGGGAGGGGGGCCAGGGCAGAGGCCTTGGGGTGAAGAAGGGAGTTGCTGTTGGACAAAACCTATTTGTTGGTTCTGGAACGGTAGGGCCCTACTGGGCCTGCCCTGCCTTGGCCTCCTCTGCAATTTTAGGTCTCCCTTGCAGTGGGGAGGAGAAACTGGGAGGGGGCTGCAGATAGAGCGCTACCGAAGTCTGGTGCTTTGGAGTTAAAGAGAAAACGGGGGAGTCCCGTCCCAGCCACAGGTCTACTCTATCGGCTCCCACACTCCATCCCCACTCTCACCCCGTTTCTCCCTGCCCCACAGATACCAACTGCCCACAGAACTCCCAGGACACCAGCTGGGAACCGTTTCTCTCTGCCCCACAGATACCAACTGCCCACAGAACACAGGGCACCGGCTCCAGGTAACCCCAGGAGGCCCGCAACGCGGGAGGAGGCGGCAGTTCACTTCCGGTCCTGCAGGTCCTGCCCCCCAGCCGCCGCCCCCACCCCCACGACCACACCCTGGGCCGTTACAACAGATGAGTCACCCACCGCCCTCCCACCGCTGGGGTGACGCAGTGGTCTGGGCAGCCCGCCCGCACGCCCGCGGCCACCACCGGCTTTCCCAGCAGCAGGGGGCACCCGGTAGGGGCAGCGGCGCTCCGTCTGGGGTAAAAGCCGCCATCCCTACCCCCACAACCTCACACAGGCAGGGCACCTCGGGGCGCAGTCAGGACTGCAGCACTCAGACCCCCGAGGTCCAGGGACTGTCACAGAGATAGATGACTGGAGCTTCACAGAGAGTCATCGTGCGACCCAAGCACAGCCCTCCACCCCCAGCCCGTGACCTCGAATCCCCAGAATAGCAAGCTAGCAGGAGCAGGAATGAAAAGGGCGGCCTCGGGGACGCAGAGGGCACGCAGTGCCCACACGTGCTCCTGGAACCAGGAAGTGAAGGGTCGCGCGGGAAAGCCCGGGAGCATGAGCTGAGCCAGGGCCGGCGCCGGGACCCGGGGTCACTCGGGGCCAGCCAGCTAATGTCCGACGCCCTTTTTTCCCCTCGCCCCATTGAGGACTCGGCGATGGAGCCCGCGGGTGAGGCTCAGTCCCCGAGTCCCTGCTCCGGACGGACGCCCCGTCTGTGCATAGGCTAACCTCGCCTGACCTCGTCGTCCAACCATGTCGGGTCAGGGCTTGGGGACGGGACCTGACAGCACGGGGAGGGGCAAAGCAGTCACCGCACCCTTGCCTGGTGGCAGCCCTTGATCCCCGAGCTCGTTGGAGCAAGTCCAAAGCGCTGGCTTCTTGCTTTCTACAGACTACGCACATCCCCCCCACCCGCGTCCCCCTCGACCTGCTCACCTTCGAGCGGGCTGGAGAGCTACGCAGTCACTCAACGCAGGGGCTGCAGCTGCAAGTGGTGCGCCCTGCCCAGCCGGGGGTTTTCAGGAGGGTCCGCCTCAGACGGGGCGGACCCGGGGCGGGGCAAGGGCCAAGAAGGTTTAAAGGAGCCGCAGCGCAGAAGGCGGGAGGGCTGCTTGAGGGAGAGGGACAGCGGACCAGAACAAGGGTTAAAGATCTGGGGGGTCTGGACCTACAGAGGTAGCTGCAGTGGTCTCCACCTTGGAGAACCTCAGCCTCCACCGGGAGCCCGTAGACTTGTGCCACAGTGGGAAACTTTCTGCCTAGAAAGTTAGCTAAAGACTGTGGGCGTGTTTATGTGGGAAGAAGCCTCCTAGTTTACAGGCTGGCAAGGTAAACGAAAGCACAGGAAGACCTTCCCCGACCCCAACTGACTAGTGTGTGACAGGACTGGGACTTGCAGGCCGGGACAGCACCCCTACGTGATCTTGCCCCCCTCTTACTTCAAGCCTGGGCAGCGACTAACAGTGAGGTCACTCTTTGCCCAGGGCCCTAGGGGCGTGGTCGGTGTTGGGACCCAGGATTCAGATCTGTCTTCTCCCCACCTTTCATCCCCTCTTCTATGACCTAGTATCTCTTCCTAAATCCTGGAGGGATCGGAGAGGGAGGCCTCATCGGGAGGAGGCTGGCCGGGGTTCTTTTGTCTGAGGGTGGAGGATAGCAAAGTTCAGGGGTGGAGCTCCCATGTTCTTCACACATTATAGAGCCCTCCCTTGAACCTGAGATTCCAGGATGTCAATATCCAGTCCCGTCCAACTTTTCTATTCTGTTCTCTCCCTTACTACCCAGCCCTATATTCCAATCCCACTGATTGTCAAGCTTTCTCACTCCTCTGTGCCTTTACAAAGGCTATTCCTCTGCCTAGGATACGTTTCTTTCCTTAACTGGCTTCCCACCTGCTCTTCCCTTTACCTGCTGTGTGACTGTGGTGCATATTACTAAAGCATTCTATACTTCAGTTCCTTGCTTTATAAAACAGAGCTAACAGGACTGCAGAGAACTAAAATAGTCCACCTATAGGGCTTAGAGCAGTGCGTGGCACACAGTGAATGCTATTATTATTTTTTGACAGACTTTCGCTCTTTTGCCCAGGCTGGACTGAATTGGTGTGATCTCTGCTCACTGCAACCTCTACCCCTTGGGTTCAAACGATTATCCTGCCTCAGCCTCCCAAGTAGCTGGGATTACAGGCACCCACCACCACGCCCAGCTAATGGTTATATTTTTAATAGAGACAGGGTATCACCATGTTGGCCAGGCTGGTCTCAAACTCCTGACCTCAGGGGATCCACCCACCTCAGCTTCCCAAAGTGATAGGATTACAGGTGTGAGCCACCACGTCCAGCCACTATATTATTATCACCACCATCTGTGAGGGTCCTGAGGACCCCCCCCATATGCGGCATTTGTCCGAGCACACGACATAAGCCTTCACTAAATGTTTGAGGCTTTGAATGCAACTCCTTCCTTTGTGCCACCACAATCACCAACACATAGCTTTATCACAGAACTTATCGCATTATACTGTAACTATTTCTTTACGTGTCTGACTCGCCAACAGGGCAAAGGCATGTCTTCAAGAATTTTGCATTTTCTCAGTATCCAGTTCAATGGCTGGCCTCAGTAAGCACTCAATACATGCTTCTTGAATGAATGCTGAATGCACCTCCATTCATTTGAGAAGATTCCCCTTCTCTTTAAGGGTCCAGGGATTTTCCTAGCACTCTCTCAGATTCAAAGACAGATAACACACAGAAACATCTTTCACACTTTGTTTATTCACCTGTAAAAAAACTTCACCCACACCACGAACACACACACACACACACACACACACACACACACACAGAGGGCAGACCTAAGATCCCTGTTCCAATCCCCAGAATTACCTAGGGGGTCAGTACATACATTCCATACCAAGGTGACCCAAGTCCACTATCAGGGTCTGTGCCTGGGCACCAAAGGGGCAGAGGCAGTGCCCTAGGTTGAAGCTAGGTCTGGTTGGGGGCCTCCTTTGCAGGTCCATTTGCCTTTTCCCAGCCTTGAATTAGAGCTGATCACAGCAGAGTGGCCTGTTCGGGGTGGGGGAGTGGCTGTCGATAGGCTGGCAGCCGAGCCCTGGTAGCATCTCGGCGGCGGCGGAAGGCCAGGAATTCCTCCCGAAGGGCAGCACAACGGGCCTCAGGGCCAGTAACATGGGCAGTGTTCAGGAGGCAGCCCTCCTCTGGAGTCTTCACACCTGCAAGAAGGGGGCAGGACAATGAGAGAAGAGGCCCTGAGGTTCACTGAGTGAAGAGCTCAGATGTAAAGCTCGCTAGGCCCTTCCAGTACAGATGGGCCAAGGGGGCAAGGCACAGTCTAGAGCAGAGGAGCCTGGGAGGCAGGGCCTGACTGGGAATAGATGGGTCCTAAGATGGCAGGGGGGATGTGGGACAGCATGGCTGAGATGCCTGCCTTTCCAGGGGGCTCACACACCTAGCTCTGGCTCAGCTTCAGGTCTGAGCCGGGAGCTGGCCAAGCCCAGGTGCAAAGTCTCCGGCAATTCCATGTCCCCAGGGAATTCTGAGTCCCACTCATAGTTCTCATCCACAGATGTGTTCCTCCTGTTAAAAAAGAAAAGTGTATGGTGTGGGTGGAGGAATAGAGGATGTTCAGAAAAGTCTGAACTCAGGGACCCCAAACTCACGTTAGGTCATGGGTTTTCCCTGAAAAAATCCCTAGACCTCAGCAAAAGCTTTTAAAAGGAGATGAGGTTTCTTGTTCTCAGGATAGGAGTGGAGCAGAGAAGGTACAGGGTATTGGGAGTTGGGTGAGAAGGTCTGGGGCGGGAGTGGGGCCGAGGCAGGGACTGGGGCCAAGGCAGGGACTGCTCTCACCTCTTGCTGACTGTCACTACATGCTCCCTTCGGGGCCACCTCTCAGGGCCACTGGCCCAGCTGCTGGTGTCTCCTGGAGCAGGGCTGAGGTAGCTGCCTCCTGCAGAGGGAGCTGTGGAGGGGGGCCGCAGGAACGAAGCGCTGCCTCGCCCGCTGCTCTGGCTGGTGAGGCTGCCCCGAGGGGCAGCAGGGAGAAGGCCTGGCAGCAGCCGCTCCCTCAGTGTCCAGTCAACCAGGGCTGTGTAAGGGGGCTCTGCAGCTGCCCCAGCCCCTACCACATCCCCAGGAAGTGATGCCCTGGGGGACATAGGAGGGGTGTCTGGGGGACGTAGGAAAGATGAGGTGGGGCAGGGCTGGGTATCCATGTAATCTGGGGGCGCAGCAGGGCTGGGATCCTCAAGAGGGGGCCAGTCCCCGTCCACATTCATCTCCCGGAAGAAGGGCAGGCTCAGGTACTGGAGCAGGGGCCCTGGACCTGGCAGGGCACTAGGCGGGGCTGCTGGAGGGGCTGCCACAGGGCTGATGTCTTCAATGCAGAGGGGCTGGGGTGCCCCACTGGGGCTGCTGCTGCTACAGTCAAAGGACCGGGCCAGACGCTCGGCTGGAGTCCGAGGTTCTGCCTGCTCTGGGCCTGACCTTTCCTGGGAGACCACCACAGTGGGCCCCATCACAAAGCGCCCATCTGGGCCCCGGCAAATGGGCTCCAGGGGTAAGAGTCCCCGGCTAGGTGGAGGATCTGGGTGGGGGCTGGAAGTTCCGGCAGGATCCCCCCAGAGCAGACTCTGACGCAGGCTGGGGACTGGGGAACCCTGGAGCTTCAGCTTCGCCACGCTGTCAGGACTGCCTGAGCCCAGAGCAGAGCTGGGGAAGGACAGGAGATCAGGGTCTGTGGTAGGGGCAGGTCCCCCTCCCAGGAGCCAGCGTCAGGCCTTGAGAGGTTTGGTGAACAACAGAGCAGAGCTAGGGAGAACAAGCGAGGAAAGGACCAACAAGGTGGAGGGGATGGAGGGAAGACACAGGCCACACTGGACCGGCCTCAGGCTGGGGCCTCTGCGCACCCCTTCTTACCCTCTCCCACTTTTGTTCCTGCCCAACCCCCACCATCCCCCCAGTAAAGGTGCAAAAAACAAAGCAGAGGATACTGGAAAGGCAGAAGAAAGCCAAGGAGGTGGAGGCACTTACTGTGCAGCTGACTTCCCGGAGGGAGAGAAGATAAGAGATGGATCTGGAAGGGCACGAGAATAGTAGGTGACACAGGCAAAAACCAAGGCCTTCCGGGCGCAGACTCTCTCACCCAACACCAGGCGCCCCACCCCATCTGGCTTGGAAAAGCGCAGGCAGGACCAGATGCAGAACCGAGAGAAGGCACCTGGCTCACACAGGAGGGAGGGATTTTCCCCAGGTAGGAGGGGCTTAAGGAGGGGCGGGGCCCTCCGGTGCGCTGGGCCCCAGTGCGCGGGAGGAGGGATGACGCTGGAGGGGCCTACCTTGGCGGAGGCGCTTGCGGCGGCGACGGGCAGCCCTGCGCCGGTTCATGAGGCAGGCCGCCAGGATGCTCACCAGGACGGCCACGCCCAGGAAGCAGACCCCGCCCAGCACGCCGGCCAGCACCGGCTGGGGCAGGAGGCCCGGCAGCTGCGTGCGCGACGGGTAGACCTCCAGGCCTGGGCAGGGGGCCACGAGGGAAGGTCAGTGGGCTCGCAGCCCCTGCAAGCCCTGGCGCTCTTCCCTCCCGCCAGGTGCTCACCGGAAGTGGAGACGTTGGCCGTGTTGCTGGGGTCGCTGACGTAGCTGCCCGCGAAGGCCACGAGGCGGAACTCGTAGAAGACATCCTGCCACGGGGATGGGGTGCCAGGAGGGAGGTCAGGGCCCAGCACCGCCCATCCCAGCGGAGCTCGGAAAGACTGTGCAGGCGGGGCAGAAGGGTGAGGTGGGACCCGGAGGTGAAGAACTCAAATCAAGATGAGAAGATGGGGTCTGGGGAATGGAGGAGGACGCAGGAGAGCCCCTGGGAGGCCGCTCCCTGTATCGCCTCCCGCACATACCTTGATGAGGCCTGGCACCAGCAGCTCTGTTTCTGTGCCTGCCACAGCCGGGTCCAGCACCTCCCAGCCCTGGGACCCCTGCCGTCCTTCCAAGACGTAGCCATCCAGTGTCTTAGGGACCAGCTCTGGGGGATCCCAATGCAGGAGTACTCCCCGGGGTGTTCTCACTGCCACCAGACCTCGTGGAGGGGACAGGGGAGGCGGCACCTCTGTCGGGGGAAGCATGGGCGCAGCTGGTGTGGTAGGAAGCCCTGCATGGGGCAGATAGGCAGGTCAGAGAAGGGATTCCCAGCTCCCCTCCCCTGACCTTCCATGCCCCCCAGTGCCCAACTCTTCTCCCAGAGCCCCTAAAGACAAGCCCAAGTCATCTTCCACACACCCCTCTGGACCCCAAGCTGCCCAGCACCTCTGCCCCTTCCCATCCAGGACCTCCCATATCCAGCTTTCCTAGTGGCCCTTTCCCATCCTTGTCTCTGCTGTTCTGGGATGAGAAGCCTCTCACCTTCAGGAGCAGACAGGACGATTTCGCTGAAGGGACCACTCCCCAGCTTGTTCTGAGCTAGCACGCTGAACTGGTACTGGGTGTGAGGCTGCAGCCCTGGCACTAGGAGGTGGGCAGCCCCCACAGGCACTGCCAAGGACACCCAGTCATGGTGTATTCGGTCAGGACGCTTGGCCCTGGGAGACATGAAGACATAGGGGGCACCTCATGAGCTAGGAAGATCTGGGGTCCACAGATCTAACCAACTCCCTCTGCTCGACCATCCAAGGTCTTTGGACCTTGGCCCTGAATGACTCAGAGTCTGGAAACAGGGAAGCAGAGCCAGGACCGGTGAGGGATTGAGGAAGAAAGGGCACAAGGCCAGATAGGTTCAAGGAGGAGAGGAAAGGAGGCAAGGTTGGTGCAGAGAAATGACAGGAGCAAGTCACTCACAGTGGGGTGTACCAGACACTGAATCTCTGCAGATAGCCACCGTCAAAGCCAGGCTCCCAGGAGACATTGACACCCTTGGGCAAAGGCACCACGGATACATTGGTGACAACATGAGGGCTAGTGCCTGGGGAGGGGCATGGAGGGAGTGATGGTGGTCAGGGCCTGAGGGGATATAGAAAGCCACAGGGGCCCCAGGACCACTGACCTTCACCCATCATCATCCCAGGTCTCCCACACCCATGATCCCCTTTCTGGCCCTCTAAAAACGTTCCCCCATCTCCTATCCCACGTGGTTTCTCCCAGCCCGGGGCCCTCTCTCCAGCCACTAACCCAGCACATGGACATTCGTGGAGGTGGCCACTCGGGCCACAGCATTGCTGGCACTGCATTCCCAGCGTCCATGGGCCTCCTTGGTCAATGGTCGCAAGACGAGGCTGCTGTTGCTGTCCACCTGGGCCTGGCCTTGCAGCCCCCGGCCCACCTACAGAACCACTGGTGAGCCCTGAGGACACACGCAGCCACCCCTCACCAAGGGCGCCCCTCATCTCTCCAAGCAGCTCCAGTTCCTCCCCACCCTGCCTCTGACAGCCCACACCTTCCCACATCCTCCCTCCCACAAAATGGGGCACATAGTAGGTGCAGGTATAGGCAGAGCAGGCTCAGAAGGCTTACCTTGGCCCAAGAGACAATAGGAGGAGGGTCCCCTCGGGCAGAGCAGGGGATGAGTAGCTCCCGCCCTACTTCTTGGAAATATTCTTCCTTGGGCCGTTCTATAAAAGCTGGAGGAGCCTGCAAGCCAGATCTGGCATCGGGAGGGGCCCTCTCTTACACTGCTGTCTAAGGCTGGCTACTCCTCGGCTCTGCGATCCTTGTCATGCTATGCCTCACCTCACTCTTCTCACCCCCTAACTAAACACCTACCAAGCCTGTCTCCACCTCATTCTCTCTCCATCTCTCAATTCTGCTCTAGCTCTGTGTCTGTTCCCCAGTGGGTAGGGGCTGGAGGGAAATGGTGGCTGCCAGTAAGGACTGGCAGGCTTGGGCAGGACTCTCGGAGATGTACAAACCTCTGCAGAACATTCTTTCTCCCAGAACCCCAGAGAGGGAGGCAGCATGGTCAAGGTTAGTGAGAGGGGGCGGACAGGGTATCTTACTGTGTCTGACTGATGTCCCACCTCCCGAGCACCACCTCTGCGGAAACCTCTAGGTTGGCATCAGGCAGCTGCCGCCATGGCCACCATGGGAGACAGACTTGGGAGCCTCTCCCCATGTGTCTTCCCCACCCCACCCCCATCAGCCTGGCCCCCACTGTCACCACAGGTCCCCACCCACCCCCGGCCTCACCTTGAGCAGCACGCGGGTCACAGGGGAGGGCCCGGCAGTACCAAGACTGTTGTAGGGGGTGCAGGAGTATTCTCCCAGGGCATCCTCGTTCCCCAGGGCAATGATCAGTGAGCCTTCTGTGCCCTGGGACCAGCCAGGAAACTGGAAGGAAGAGGAGGTGACAGCTAGAGAGAAGAGCTCAGCAGAGGCAAGCCCGGGATGGCAGTGCAAGAGAGGGAGCAGGACGAGAAACCCAGAGCTGTGCAGAGGACTCCACAGCTCCATGTCTAGGCCTGACCTTTCTGAACGCCAGTGCTTCCTTTCTCCCCTTCCTACACAGGGAACCCTCCCAATAGTGTGAGGCTGTGACTGCACAACTCCAGAGGGTGCCACTCCCAGAAAACACAGTATGGATGGTCACCCCTGGAGCTGGGCCACATGGGGCTTCCTGCCTGCTGGGACTTCACCTGGCTCTTCCCAGCACTCCACAACTAAGTTCAGCATCTTCCACCCCAAACCAGCTCCTATTTCTCTGTTAAAGGGCCCATCAGCCTCTTTGCTGAAGTCTGCTTCCTCATGTTCTCTCGCTCCCCCTAGCGAAATACCAAGCCAGTCATCCTGGGAAGTCCCTTTTGTCTGGGCATGAGCCCACTCATCTTCATGTCCTCCTCTCCAACTCAGACTCCACAACTCTTGTCTGGGTCATTTCAGCAGCCTCAGAACCCTGCTTCCTATGTCCAGTGTCTCCCACCACATCCCACTGGACAAGCTCAGCCCCTGATCATGGCTCTGATGCTATCACACCAATGCCCAACAAACTCCAGCAGCTCCAACTGCCTGTAGACTTTTTCCTTAAACATTCAACAAAGACGTACTGAGTACTATTGTTGTAGAAGCCCCAGGTACACTCTGACGAAAAGATGCAATACTAGGCCTCAACAAATTTATAGTCTCTGCAGACAAAAGATCCCAATTGCCTTGGAATGAGGTAATATTAACTTGGCATCCACAGTTCTCCCTTTTGATGCTAACCTGTCGTTCCAGCTTTCTCTGCACCATTCATGTCCCTACAGGCACTCCAGCTCCCACCCAGTTGGTCAATTCATAATTCCATAAACGCACTACATTACTTCCTGCCTCTTGGCCCTCGTTTCTGCAATGGAATGACTATCTCCTCTTTGAGTCCAGTCACCAAAGTCCCAGAATCTGTTGCTGGTCTATCCTCACTCACCCTAAGAGGAAGGCACGAGCTCCATCCCTGGCCTTCCAACTGTGTCTGTGTGGAAGTGTCCTCTGCCCAGACAGCGCCCACTTTAAGGATGGATACCTCCTTGCCCCTGCCCCCTACACAGCACCTGGTAACAAGTATGTGTTCCCCCGGGACACACAATTCCCCAGTCATCAACCTTCAGTTCTGCTTTTTGACTCTTTGCCATCATTTTCCCCAGAGACCACCTCTCACCTTTTCCCCAAAGACACAAAACCAGCACCTTAAACCATGAAAATTTTCCTCGGCGGTTTTAAGTAGTTTCCTATGCAACATGTCTTTTTTTTTTTTTTTCTTGAGATGGAGTCTAGCTCTGTTGCCCAGGCTGGAGTGCAGTGGCACCATCTCAGCCCACTGCAACCTCCACCTCCCAAGTTCAAGCGATTCTCCTGCCTCAGCCTCCTGAGTAGCTAGGATTACAGGAGCCTGCCACCATGCCCAGCTAATGTTTGCATTTTTAGTAGAGTCGGAGTTTCACTGTGTTGGCCAGGCTGGTCTTGAACTCCTGATCTCGTGATCCACCCACCTCAGCCTCCCAAAGTGCTGGGAGTATAAGTGTGAGCCACGGTACCTGGCTGCAACATGTCTTATAACACAAATTAAATTCACAGAATATGTGTGCCACCAGTCACTGAATTGAATTAAATGGAGCTAACTCCACCCAGCTGTCCTGAGCAGACTAACACCAAGTGAAGACCCTCCTTCCGCTTCCCCAAGCCAGTACCTTGTCCAGCTGCAAGGCCTTTCCATCCTTGGTCCAGCTGACAAAGTGCAGTGGGGGGTTGGCGCGAACCGGGCAGCGGATCACCCCCGGCATGCCTATGGGCAGGAGTGTCTCAGGAGGCATAGTTGTCACCTGGGCTGGGTCTGGGGGAAAGTAGTGGCAAGTTGGGGGAGAGGGGCTTGGCCTGGCCCAGGGGAAGGGAGCAGGCTGAGGGAGAGGCCAGGGCCAGGCTTACAGAGCACGGTGAGGTAGGCAGAGGCTGAGGGTGGGTGCAGGAGGCCATTGCTGGGCACACAGGTGTAGCGGCCGGCATCATCCGGCTGGGTGGCCTGCAGCCACAGGCTCCCGTCCACCAGGATCCGCACCCGGGACTGCAGGCGGCTGCAATGCGGCATGTGTGAGGAGGGGTCCAGGCCTTGCCCAGCCAAGTGGCTCCTCAGAGACTGTCTGCCAATTCCCCACCTCCACCCTCCTAATGATGGTGACCCGACCTAATGTGGAAGACATTGGTGTTGTCCTGGAACCAGCTGTAGGTGAGGTTAGCAGGGTATGCCTCAGCGTGGCAGGCCAAGGAAACATCCTGGGAGGCATTGACTGTGCTGTTCTTGGGGGGCACCACGATGACTGGGGGTCCTGTGGGGTGCACGAGGGGAGGAAGGTGGCCTCAGCCAACAGTCTTCCCAGAACCCTGAGGTCACCTCTACAACTCTTCCCAGCTCTGCCCTCTGGAATTGTAGGGCTCATTGTTATGGGGCTTTGGGGAATGGAAACAGAAGCTTCCCCCTGTATGTAACAAGAATTCTTCCTCTCCCTGAGACCCATTCCTCTTTCCAAATTCTCTCTGTTCCATCAAGAACAACCCCATTCATGCAGTTCCACTGCCTAGGAATGGTGTGTATGTTTGGGGGAGTCAGTTTAACTGCTCATTTGCCATTTGTATCCCTGCCTGTCACCTCTTGAATCACTTCTCTGTCTCTGAGCCTAACCCAGGTACCCAATACCTCACCTCAAGGTGCTACAGCACCCCCTGACTCCAGGCTCCCCTGTGGCTGCCACTCTAATGGCCATTCCTACAGAAACAGATCCTTGTGCCACAGAACATTTCTGCTCAGGAACCTGCAACGGCACCTGAGTCCTCCCACACTAAGTTCAAACCCAGCCCTGTGGACCTCTGCGATCCAACCCCTCCCTACCTGGCCAGCCATCTTTCCATATGTCAGCCCTCATGAACTCTTTCAGGTCAGTGTGGGCAGCTGGCTGTCCCCCATCTCCATGCCTTTGCTCCCCTCAACCCCGGTGGGAATGCCCCTCCCAAGGTCCTGGCCATGCCACATACCTCCTGCAAAAGCACCTCTGGCTACTGTAGTCCACTACTCTTTCCCCGCTCTGGGCAGGTACTGCATGAGCAGTCAGTAAGAAGAGGCATGATGCGAGCTGACGAAAACAGCACAGACTGCATGCCTGGCACTGAGTGCCACCTGCATGACCTTATTTAATCCTCACCAGAACTTTTGTCGGGGAAATTGTCTCCATTTTATAGATGAAGAAATGAAGGCTCAGAGGCAGAGAGATTGTGAGGTGAGTGCCCAAGGACAGCAGGAGAGGCACCATTCATATGAGGCTTCCTGATGCCAGAGACGACACCTTTAACCATTACCCGGCACTGCCATTCTTACAGTACCACGGACAGCAACACTTCCCTGTTTGCCCAGTTAGTCTTACTTCCCCACAAAGATAATAGGCTCTACAAAGGCATAATCCAGGCCTTCTACTTCTCAGCTTCTAAAGGAAGGATCTTGGCCAGGAATTACCATGTGCCACCAACTGGGCTCAGCTGGACCTAAGTAAATTCTAGTAACACACCTGAGAGGTAGATGTAAGTCTCTTTATAAAGATGAAGAAACTGGGACTCAGGGAGTTTACCCAGCTCACAGCCTAACACAAGCATCTATGCCCTGTCCACTATAACACTACTGGGTACTAAAGATCACTCTGTCTGCTTACTGAGCCTTTTAAAATTAAGGTGTTGGTTTCAGAGCAACAGCCGGCATCGGGAGCCCCCTCAGCCTCCATGGGCCCTGCCCTCAGGCACTAATCTCCTTCCCATCCTGCTGTGCACCAGTTCAGCCACACGTCACAGCCCCCTTGCACAGGCGTCCCTGGACCCCAGCCCTCCCGCCAGAAGGCACCTAGCACCAGCAGCTGGGTGGCGTGGGTGGTGCTGCCCTCAGTGCTGGAGGCTTGGCAGATGTAGACCCCAGAGCTGCCTCGCTCTACCCGGTGGATCCGCAGCGTCCCGTTCTGCACCTAGGGAAGGAATGGGTAAGGAAGAGTCCCTTCTCCTGCCAGCCTCAGACCCTGCACTTCTGAGGCTGGCCAGCAGAGGGAGGCAGCAGCCCAGGCTCGGGGAAAACAATGCCAAGCCCCCTTCCCGCCCATCTTCCAGCCTGGCCTTTGCCCCTTCTGTCCTCTGGCCCCACTGCCAGGCCCCCACCTTACCTTCACATTCTATCTGGTTCATTCTGTCTACCCCCAGGACTCACTTGCACCTGGCCCTGGCCCTGGCCAAGGTCCTGTCCTCGGAGCTTCCAAGTCACACGAGGCAGGGGGCTGCCACGGGCCACACAACGCAGGGTCACAGGCTCCAGTTCCTGCACTTCCAACACAGCAGGAGGTGTCTCCTGGAATTGAGGGGGCGCTGCGAGGGAGACAGGCATCAGGGGCCCCAGGGGGGCTATCAGCCCAAAGAGCTGTGTCCCAGGGCCAGGGAGACAGACCACTCAGGGCTACAGCCCGCTGCCCACCCGCCAGCCTCACAGGAATCCCCAGCCGGGGGCCACCCTCTCTATGAGGACTCTATGAACCCACCCCACACTGGCCTGGGGCTGAGCCCAGACTGGATGTCCAGAGCTGGGGAGAGAGCCACATCCCCTCAGGAGGAGCACTGTTCTGGGAGTCAAGGGGCCTGGGTACTAGATTCTGCTCTGCCACTAATCAGTAGCATGACTCAGCCCTGCCTATGCAATGGGGATGATTATGACCTTCTTCCTACTTAGGAGTGAGAGAGAAATAATAAGGGCCTGAGTGAAAAGGTATTTTGAAAATATAGTGCTGGCCAGGCGCAGTGTCTCACACCTGTAATCCCAGCACTTTGGGAGGCCAAGGCGGGTGGATCACCTGAGGTTGGGAGTTCGAAGCCAGCCTGACCAACATGGAGAAATCCCTTCTCTACTGAAAAATACAAAATTAGCCGGGAATGGTGGCACATGCCTGTAATCCCAGCTACTCAGGAGGCTGAGGCAGGAGAATCGCTTGAACTCAGGAGGTAGAGGTTGCAGTGAGCAGAGATCACATGATTGCACTCCAGCCTGGGCAACAAGAGTGAAACTCCATCTCAAAAAAAGAAAAAAGAAAGGAAGGAAAAGAAACACGAAGTGCTGTATATGTGAACTGTGTTTCACTCAGGGTCCAAGAGCCCCCTCTCTCCCACCCATTTTCCTGGCCAGGGAAGCAGCAGGGAAGAGAAAGAGGAAGTTCCTGACATAGAGCCTAGCAAACTGATTGGATTTATATTTGAAGAACCGAAAAGGGCAGCATGGGGTGGGATGAGATGCAACCACTAAGTGAGCAAACAGGGCTGCCAGGAAGGGTGGGAGCTGCTTGTGAAGTGGAAATAGAACTCCCTCTTCCCCTTTCTCCCACCAGCCAGAGATCCCCATTCTCCTCCACCCTGGCTTTCTCCACCACCTGCCCCCCAGCTTCATACAGTTGACTGTCAGATGCACCCAGGAGCCATTAGCAAAATCGTCTTCAGGAATGTGCTGGTCCAGGAAGAGCACGCGGCACTCGTACCAGCCCTGGTCTTCCACCCGCAGACCCTCGATCTGGAGAGAGGCCCCCTTCTGCAGCCGGACTCGTCCTGGGGAGGAGCCCTGAATCAAGGGTGCTGAAGGGACCCCATGAGAGCCCCAATTTCCTGGTCACACGGGTAATTCGTAGAAGTAAGAGTAAGCTCCATCTCTCCCAGTTACTCTGAGAGTGTGGGGTCCAGAGACGCAGATGGGGTTGGGGTCATTCAGGACAGGTCCCTCCATTCAGCCCCTCTGACCACTCTTGCCATTCAACAGCTGAGACCCCGTCTAGACAAAGAGAAACCTAGAGGGACAGGTGGGCAGAACCTTCCCCTGAACTGCACTTGCCATCCAGGACTGCTAGGGGAGGAGGTGAAGAGCCAGCACGTAATCTGCTCTGGATTCTTATAGGATCTGTCCACCTCTGGGTTCTTTTAGTAGGGGAAAGTGTGAGCTCCTGGGAGTACTCCTGATAGAGGACTGTGTCCCTGAAAATCTCAGCAGTGTTTGAGGCCCTATCAGGGGAACCCAGACCCCGCCTGCCAAAGTCCCTAATCCCTGTGGGCTATTATCAGCAGCCTAAGCGCCTTAGGGTGGCCAGAGTCCAGCCCAGCAAGCAGCAAAGTCAGCAGCCTCCTCACCCCATCCTCTCCATGCCCCGGGGCACTCAGGCCCCAGCTGGCTGACCACATACAGTTCCACAAAGCCACACAAGCACAGCACAAGCAGACACCTCAATCCCACCCTTTGTCAGCATCCACACCACACCACACCACCAGGCTCAGAGCGAGGGTGCCTACCCAACCCCTCAGCACCCTCCCTGGATGGAACTGTGCACCCCAGACAGCTTCATGGGACCCTGGCAGTGTAGCCGAGTGAGACAGGCACACACTTGGGAGCCAGATAGCCCTAGGCATGAGTCCAGCTCAACTGCATACTCTTTTGGGTAAGTTACTTAACCTCTCTCAATTTCAGTGTCCTCGTCTGTAAAAAGAAGAGAAAGAAACAGAATTGAGGTGGGGTAGAGGAGAGGAATAATGCAGGGAAGGTGCGTAGCATGGTGCCTGGCGTCCGTGGATGCTCAAATAAACGTTGTGGAACAAATAAATGAGCTCTAGATTTGAAATTAGAAAGCTGCACTCAAGTCCTGGCTCTGTCCCTAAACTGATCACACGTCTTCCTTTTCTCTCCCTGTATCAGTGAACAGCACCACCACACACCAAGTCACCTCATCAGGAACCTGGCATCTCTGAGATTTCTGGATTACCTCCCGTATTTACTTGCTCATTAAGTTTTCAAATCCTACCTCCTAAACCTTTTCCCTCCTCTGCTGTCCTCACCTTTATACCTGTGGCGTGTCTCACCTGGGTTTCCCCAAGAGCCTGCTTCCAGCCTCCTCCCCTCCACATCCACATTGTTCATCCCCACCTAGACCTCTGCTATGGAGAAATGGAACTTTCTTTTCTTTCTTTCTTTTCTTTTTCTTTCTTTTTTTTTTTTTTTTTTAGAGATAGGGTCTCACTCTGTTGCCCAGGCTGGAGTGCAGTGGTTTGATTGTAACTCATTGCAACCTCGAATTCATGGGCTCAAGCAGTCCTCCTGCCTCGGCCTCTCAAGTAGCTAGTACTACAGGCATGTGTCACCATGCCTAGCTAATTTTTTAATTTTTGTAGAGGGGGGGTCTTGCTGTGTTGCCTAGGCTGGTTTTAAACTCATGGCCTCAAGGGATCTCCAGCCTCAGCCTCCCACAGTGCTGGGATTAAGCTGTGAGCTACTGTGCCTGGCTGCCTTTTCTTAATTTTACGTTGTATGTAAATGCAGCTCCAAGGCCCTTTGCATAGTGTCCACCCCAGCTTTTCCTAAGACTAGAAATTCTGAAGCTGTGAATGTATTCAACCCCTCCAATTTGCTTCCATTCTGCCTCTAGAGTGATCTGTTTCAGAAATGAGATAATCTATTTCAGAAAGAAGAGAAGGATCAGGTTGAGAGAGGCTTTCTGATCTTAGGCAAGAGTCTTTTTCTATTTAGAATGAGTTCCAGGGGTGTGGATTCTCTAGAATGGGTGGACCTGCTTAAAGGGCTAGGTGTTTAAATCCCCACCCGGGAGATAAGACCAGGCCTAGCAGGTAAATATTTAACATAATCACACCCTTCCACCCACTGTCAGGATTCCTCAGGAAGGCTGATCTGCCTGGCCCTGAGCCCTGCAGACCCCAGACTGCAGCCTCTTCTATGTCCCACATGCTACTTTTATTATAGTGATCTTCTAGCTCTACAAAGAAGGAAGAGGGAAGGAAGATTGAGTGTGGAATATGGGCCGTTTAATAATACGCGTTCTCACCATATTTAATCCTCTCAAGAATGCCATGGTAGCTGAAGGAATTAATGTTAAGTTTCTTTCCAAAATCACGTGGCTAGTAAGTGACAAAGCCAGGCTTCTTTCTCCAGGCGCAGCACTGTGCTTCCCATGGACACGGGTGTTAGGACCAAGGGCTGTTCAGGACACTGGGCGCATCGGTGAATTCTCACTTGGGAGATGCTGGTAGCCGCTGGGTAACAGTCCAAATGTTACCCAGAACATGCAATGAAGCACACTGCGTGTCCTAGCTTTTCTGTGACACTTGGACTGGTAGACCTGTAGTGTCACAGAAGAACAGGAAGATCGCCAGTGGGGCAGCCCTGAGTCCTCCTGAGCCCTGGGCCCACCTCCTGGAGGCCTCCCTCCACCTGCAGTCCCAAAGCCTGTTGACGTCAGATCTTCCCATATGCACAGGTGTGTGAAGGAAACAGGAGACACAGTCTCCTCTCAAGCTCTCAGAAGGCAGGGAACCCACGCTCACCTAAACGGGCAAGTTCACGTCCACACATCCACGCGTCGACAAAGAAGTTCAAAAAATGGTGCTAACTGTGCCCAGACGTTGCACCAGGAAGCAAGAGCAGTAAGGAAGGCTTCTGGGAAGCCGTGACTGGGCGGAGGGTGAAGAATAAAAGGTGGTGAGGGGAGAGGACTCCTTTCAAGTGGCGAACAAGGTTGCTGATTTTTTTTTTTTTTTTTTGAGACGGAGTTTCGCTCTTGTTACCCAGGCTGGAGTGCAATGGCGCGATCTCGGCTCACCGCAACCTCCACCTCCTGGGTTCAGGCAATTCTCTTGCCTCAGCCTCCTAAGCAGCTGGGATTACAGGCATGCGCCACCATGCCCAGCTAATTTTTTGTCTTTAGTAGAGATGGGGTTTCACCATGTTGACCAGGATGGTCTTGATCTCTTGACCTTGTGATCCACCCACCTCGGCCTCCCAAAGTGCTGGGATTACAGGCTTGAGCTACCGTGCCTGGCAATCGCTGATTTTTATCAGACAACTCAGGGCAGAGAAAACTGCACGCCCCTTCTGCTATGTGGGGTGTCTTGAAAATCCCAAGACGTACAATGCAAAAGTCAAAGACCAAAAGCCCATCCCACCATTTGGATGCGCTGGTCCAGGATCCACCTCAGGAAAGCTGGTGTTGACTAAGCCTAGCCTGCCTTCCCTCTGGAGGCCTGGTCCTGGGTTCACACCACACCGGCACTGTGAGGGCACAGGGCGGGGCACCTTACACACTGCGGCTACCTGAATCCTACTCTTGAGTGCTAGCTTCTTTTATATTACTTTCACTCCTTGGCACTCATTGATAAATCTAGTCCCCTCTGCTAGACACTTCTAGAGTCCTCAAAGATGGGAAGCCTTCTGTTCGGTGTGGTCCCTAATGCTCCCAACAGTCTCTCTCAGGGTTCCTCACACATTCTAGGCCACCAGCCCCACAACAGTCCCTGGCCCATCTCCCCTTCACTGCCCAGAGGGTTTATGACAGAAGAGCATTGTCCTTAGCAACCTCCACCTCCTGTTGCTTAGCAACTGCAGTTCCCCTACACAAAGGCTGAGAGGCCCCTTCCACACCGTGAGGCAATAAAAGGGTTAACAGGCTCAGGGGCCTCCCTCCCTCCCACTCCCTCCCTGGGCCAGCTCTGGCCTGACCAGGAGCTCCAGACCCAGGCAGGAGTGTGAACAAAGGGCAAGGGTAGAAAGCAAGTCCCAGCGGCCACTGCTCAAGGAGCAGCACAGACAGAAGGAAGCCCCACAGGTAGACCACGGTGCTAACCATCCAGCGGCTCGAGGCCTGAGGGACCTCAAGGCAGGACACAAGCTGGAGAGAAGAACAGCTTCCTGTCTCCCTGGTGTAGTCCCAGGAAAAGCCCCGCTCTCCTCCGCCTCCCCTTGCTTGCCCTCAGTCAGACAACATTCTGAATCTGTCCAGCCTCAGCCTGGCAGCCCAAGACCGCTCCCAAGCCCGGGCGGGCAGAGGCAGGGAGGGAGGGCTGGTGGGCACAGCCGTTTTTTCTCCACTGGTGCTAATTGGAGCCCGCTTTCATTCATTCCCACAGGGCTTGTGCAGACACATACACTCCCACCAGGCTGTCTGCCAATAACTGCCCCCACTTTGAAAATAAATTTCCCGTCTGTACCACCTGCCTGTACCTCCTCCCCTCGCTGCTTAGTCCACCCTGTGTCAAGGGCTCAGCCAATCCCAGGGTTTCCCTCAGGATTCAAACTGAAGAGGGAAAAGCTGGGGGTCTCCCCATCAACGCCCTCATAGGTGGCCTTTCCCAGATTTCCCCTCTGAAGAGGAGGCAACAAGACTCGCCCTCGCCCTACAGCCCAGGCCCGTCCTTAGGGCCTCCTGCATGCTGCCCCCTGAGACCTGGCACTAGACCGCTTAGACTAAGGCTCCATCCGGGATTAGGAGGAAGCAGAGCCATTGTAGCCATTCTAGGGAGCCAGCTGGGGCGCAGCAGAAGGCACCCGGGGAGGCTACACACGATTTTAAGTCCCAACAGGAGCCACCTAAAGCAGCAGCCCCAGCCAGCCTCTTCCAGTCACTGACCTTTGGGGAACCTGGACCCTCCCCAGCCCACCTTCTCTGTACACCTGGGCTTCTCTACTCAGAAGCAGGCTGAGCCCCCCTGGAAAAGCAGAGGTCACAGCCGCACCCAACCTGCTGCCCCCTCAGCCCACTCCCAGAAGCCTAGAACCCCAAACTAGCATTTAAGACAATGGGGAAGGAGAGGGCAGAGGAGTGAGCAGACAGTAGAGGCAGGACCAAGGTAGGGCCAAGTGGGGAGACTAGAGATCAGGATGAAGTCTGGGAGGTTTCACGATGAGATGTAGAAAAAAGCAATTACAGAATTAGGATGGAAACTTGGAATAGGGCTGCAGGATCTCCTTTGGAACAGACCACGTGGAGTTCTAAATAGCACAGCTGTTAAGTGTGCGCGTGTGTGTCTGTGTGTGTAAATGAATGAAGCGTTCAATGAATTAACTGCTTGGGAGCAGAGCCATGCTTGTTAAGCAGAGTTAGGGCAATAGAGCTTGAGATGAGATCAGAGCCTGGACCGAGCAGTTCACAGCGGGCCTTGCCCGACTCTACGCAGCCCACCTTTCTTGCTGATACCTCCCTACCACCCACCCGAGGAGAACTCTTACCCACGTAATCAGGGTCAATTCGTGGAGAGTAGAGGCCGAACTGGATGAAGATGGGAAGCAGGAATCCAAAGCGCATCCACTCAATAACATGTAGAGGGGGCCGGCCAGCCGGAGGCAGCAGGTCACAGCGCAGCACCACACTCTCCCCAGCCCGGCCCACCACCGAGTCCACCTCAGGCTTCCCTCGACCTGCATGATGGGTGGTATGAGGGCACAACAGGGGGCCAGGGTCAGTGCTGGGAGGGGAGATGCCATCAGTATCTCTATAGGCACCTTAGGACTTTGGGTGACTGGAGGAACCCCCAGTTCAGCTTCTCCAGAACCAGCCCTGTTCCTCCCCTGTCCTGCTCCAAGAGGAACACTTGAGGAACACCCCCATCCCCACCCCAAGGCTAACAGGGAGTCCTTGAGCCCAGGAGTTCAGCTCACCGTCAGCCCCCTGGCTGATGACCAGGCTGAGGACGGCCAGGCCGAGGCACCACACCATAGCCCAGCTGGCCTGCTCTCCCAGCCCCTCCTATCCACAGGAGCCCAAGTGGAGGGGCCAAGGGATGTCCTTCCGATCAGCTCAGGGAACAGGTTTCAGCTCTCACTCTTCTGGACAGTGAGGGCTTGGCTCATGTAACACCCAAGGAAGCTGCTCTCTGGAGAACCACCAGATCTAAATGCAAAGTGCAAGGCAACATGCAGAGTTGGCCAATACTGGAGCCCAGGAGAAACCCCACAGTTAGACAGGCGCTGGGAAGAGAAAGGAGGGGGGAGCGCAGGTAACTGGGGGGAGGGGGAAAGGGGGAGGATCTTGAAGCCCTGGGGTAGGAGTACTGGGAGAATGGTGAGTGCTGAATGCAGAGACCAGAAAGGTGAGGAAATGGGGAAAATGGGAGAATTGGGAAGGTCTTAGGAAATGTGGAAGGATTCTAGGGACACCTAAGTTCTGAGGGTCTTGAAAAGCTAAGCCAGGAGAGAACTGGGGTTCCTTATATACTTGAAAAAAAGATTTTGGAAGGAAATACGGTAGATCAAGACACTCATGGCCCAGGCTGCTCTTGCCTCTCCCCTTACTCTTGATGCTAACAAGGTACAGCAGCAAGAAGGAACCAGTGCTGTCACCTTCACCCCACTGTGACAGTTAAGGCCCCTGAGGATCTCTGTTCGGGGACACAGAGCCAGTCAAGGGCAAATCCTGGATGCAAATCCAGGGTCCTTAACCATCAGAAAGTGGTCCCCAGGACACCCCCATATACTCCCTTGCCCTATTTCCCCAGCCTCTATGAAAAACCCGGGAAACTGGAGACCCGTAGGTCTTTCTCCACTCAGTCTCCCTACACTGCTACACTGCCTTGGCAGTGAGTGACTCAGGCACTTGCGAGAGGAGGAGCTGCTTCCCCCACCTGCCTGTATGCGGGGCCCAGGCAGCATCCTCCAGGTCTGGACAGGTCCCGGGGCTGGCAGCTGGTGCCACTTCTTCCTCATGATACTGCCAAGCAGCCCACCCCCTGCCAGGCACCACCACTCAAGGACCTCACCCAAATTCCTCCCACTCACTCCCCTCCAATATCTTTGGGGTGCTACCGTTTGGTTTGTCAGTCTCTCTCTTCCTCAACCCCGGGGGCATGGTCCAAAAAAAGCCTGTGAGTCCCTGAGGTGTACAAAATTAGCCCTGGGGCATGGAGAGTAGGAACTCTTGACAGCCCCACAGATCCTAGGGCAGTCTCAGAGAGCCAGAGGGTCCATGCCGGGGCCTGGTACAGGCAAGTGGACTCTGCTCTGAGGCCTCCACCCCACTCTTGGCCACAAAGTTCAGGACAGACTATAAAACATCCTCCACGGAGTCTGATCCCTGTCTCTACTTAATGATCCTGTACATCTAACTTCTGGCAATTCACTGGCAACCAAGTCCCCTGCTTCCCACTGCCTCCAGGCAGCTCTCCCATACTTCCCTAAAAAACCTTTTTCCAAATATATAGGAACCCCTAGTTCTCTCCTGGCTGTTTACCAAAACCCTTAGTAACCAGGAATCCCCGGAATTCCTCCCAGTCTCCTAAGATCTTTCCAACTCCCCAGCCTCCACTATTTCCTCACCTTTCTAGTCTCCCCACACACAACTCCCTCATCCTCCCAGGACTCCCTTCCCAGTTATTGCTACTACGCACAGTCCCCCTCAATTCCAGCTTCTCGCACCTGATCTCCAATTGCAGCAGGTCCTCCGCGCTACAAAGAACTCCCTTCTGGTTTCCCCACCCCACCCCCAGCCACTTCCCATCCTCTCCTCCCGAGAATTCTCCTCCCTGGGATTCTCCTGCCTCAGCCCTCAATACACTTCTGATACCCCACCCCCAACAATTCCTTTCTCCCTCGCACTCTCGGGTCCCCTGGAACTCTTCCTTTCTCTTGGAACCCTACCGAGAACTCCCCCACGTTGCCTCCCGAACTCCTCCAGTTCTCCGGGAACCCCCACCCACCCACCAAGAATTTCACTTCCTTCCCCAGAACTCCCCTAGTTCTGCTCCCCCAAAGAATTCCACTTCTCCCTAGAACTCCCCGCTTTCTTCTGTCCCCCATAACTCCGCACTACTCTCCATGTCCCCGCCAGCACCCCCACTTCTATCCCCCCAGGACGCCCCCTCCCTCACCTGCTCCGCTCGGCTCGACTCCACTCTCGCCTTTACACAATAGGGGGCGGACCCGCCTGCCCGCCTCGGATGCCCCGAGCGCCTCCCGTCGCCCTGGAGACCGCCAATCCTCCTCCCGCTGTGGCCAATTGGAGCCGCCAGAGGCGCGGCGAAGCGGGCGGGACCCCTGAGCGGCCTGGGAGTTGTAGTTTCAGTAGGGAAGGGTTCGGTGGCACGTGGGCTCAGGTCGCCCCCTCGTGGATCTCTGCACAGCCAAGCGCGGAAAGGCGGGTCGGCCGCTTCCCGCCGCCAGCAAGAGGGGCCGTGGGGTTCGGCCCGCGTTCCAGGGCTGCGGGAGCTGGCCCCTTGCTAGGCTCCTGGTACGCCCTCCTCCTTCGGATCTTACGGGCGACCCTCTCCGCTCCCCTAACGGGCTCGCCACGGAGGCGGCAGCTAGGATTGAAATCTGAGCCTGGGGCCAGGAACACCAGGCGGGGAGCAAGACTCCCCGCCCTCCTCCCAGGGGATCCACCCAGGTCCCGGGCTCATCCATCTCCTCCCCCATCCCCATTTCCACCTCCACCCATTGCTTCTCTAGCAGGACTGGAAATACCTGTCTGCATTGGCGAGCTCCCAAATCTTGCCCTGGCGCCTCCCACCGTGTGCAGCCGGGGAAGGCTGTGCTCTGAGCTTGGGGTTGCCAAGTCAGCTCCCGAGGCGGATCCAG